AAAGCCCCCGTCTCAACCACATCTGCCCCCAACAAGGTGGCTTTAACGCCCCCAAGATGGGGAGTCTTAACTCCACGTCGTCCCCTCCACGAAGCTTCCCGGGTCACAGAGGTTCCTTCTGCCAACTCAACGCGGAAATTTCCCCCTCCCAAGAGGGTCGACGATGAAAACAAAGCAGAAAAAGCCAGAAAAGCCCCCAAACCCACCCCGGTGTTACCTCTGGATGCTCTCGGGCAGGGAGTAGTGGGTGATGGCCAGCAAGCGCAGGAGGACGTCTTCTGCAAAGCAAGGGTGAGGAGAAAGTGAGCAAGAAAGCTCCAACGTCCCGGGGGTTGCCCCGTTGCTGCCAAGATCTCCTCCGGAAAAGGAGAGGGGGAAAAGGAGAGGGGGAAAAGGAGAGGGGGAAAAGGAGAGGGGGAAAAGGAGAGGGGGAAAAGGAGAGGGGGAAAAGGAGAGGGGGAAAAGGAGAGGGGGAAAAGGAGAGGGGGAAAAGGAGAGGGGGAAAAGGAGAGGGGGAAAAGGAGAGGGGGAAAAGGAGAGGGGGAAAAGGAGAGGGGGAAAAGGAGAGGGGGAAAAGGAGAGGGGGAAAAGGAGAGGGGGAAAAGGAGAGGGGGAAAAGGAGAGGGGGAAAAGGAGAGGGGGAAAAGGAGAGGGGGAAAAGGAGAGGGGGAAAAGGAAAGGGGGAAAAGGAAAGGGGGAAAAGGAAAGGGGGAAAAGGAAAGGGGGAAAAGGAAAAGGGGGAAAAGGAAAGACTTGCAGATGGACGCCCAGCGAGGCTCACCGCTTCCTTTGGTGCCATAGGGCAGCTCGTAGAGCGACGGCGTCTTCACCCAAAAATAGTCCTTCAGCTGCAAGAAGAGCGGGTGGTCCCTCGTGTAGCTGCCGAGGAGCAAAGGGGCCAGGTCAGACGGCAACGGAGGGTTCAGGGCAGGTGGAGGGGGAAAAGGAAAGACTTGCAGATGGACGCCCAGCGAGGCTCACCGCTTCCTTTGGTGCCATAGGGCAGCTCGTAGAGCGACGGCGTCTTCACCCAAAAATAGTCCTTCAGCTGCAAGAAGAGCGGGTGGTCCCTCGTGTAGCTGCCGAGGAGCAAAGGGGCCAGGTCAGACGGCAACGGAGGGTTCAGGGCAGGTGGGGAACCTCCCTCCCCGACCTCGATACTCACTTCCCGATGAGCTGCGCCGCTTTTTTTTCAACCTCCCCGAGGGGACACGTCTTGTTTTCTTGCACAGGGAAATAAAAGCTGTAAGGGGGGTTAAAAATAAATAAAGAAATAAGTTAATCCTGCTCCTCTACATCTCCTCCCACCCACCACCACGGTGGGATTCAAGCCACTGGGGATATTGTCAGAAAGATTTAAAATCAGCTGTGCTTTGGGGATTTATTTGTTGAGCTTGCAGCCTTGCATCAGAAGAGGTCTCTCTTGCCCCGCTCATAAACCTCCCCTGCTTTCTGTCTCCTCATAGTGAATTTTTTTCCTCTTCCTCCCAAAAAAAATGGCCAAAATGCTCCGGCATCCCGGCGAGAGGGAAAAGAAAAGGGCAGGAGGTCCTTGAAATTTTTAAGAAAAGCCACTCACAGCTGTATGTACCTGTCTTCCCGGGAGATCGAGTACCAAACCATCACCAGAAAGAGCGCCAGCACCCCGAGGATCTTCCCTCCTAGGCAAAGAAAACCATAAAAAGAGTCGAGTTCGGATGATTCGGTTTTGTCCCCGGTGCGAAAGCCGCGATTCTTCATCACCCACCCCCAAAGACAAATCCCCCCACCCCGGGATTCCCCGCTCGGAAAGAGAGAGATGGGATCCCCCCACGACTCACGAGACTTGTTGATC